GCGTTTCCCGCATTCGCATGGCCAAGTCAAGCATGATGTCAGGTGAGGTCCGGGAGATGTCAACCAAGTCCTCGAGGAGCTTATGTAGGTTGGACAAACAAGGGGGGCCCTTTGAACACTCCCGCGCCTCTGGGGTGCAGTCTCTGGCCTGGGACGCAATGCATCGCTCGTACTGCCTTGGTCTCGGGCTTGCAGTACCCCAGCCATCCCCAGCCCTGGCACTTGCTTTCGGTCAGGGTGCCGTGTAAGGCCACGCCTGTGGGCTTGTAGAAGGCGGCCCGCAGTCACGGGAAGACTGAGAAGCCTATCCTCGCTGAAAGGGTTGGCAAATCGGGTGGGACAAGTGCCGCAAGGGCATTCGGTTGATGGGAAGGGCTCAGAATACAAAGGAAACATGGAGTCCGTTGATCTCATACTGGGAACAGTTGCACGAACCCCCACACTGCCCTTCTGCATCCTCGCAGGTGGTCTTGAGGAAGGACACCTGGCGCTGGGAGAGTAACGGGCTTGGTGGATTCCCAAATAGTACTCTTGCGAACTTCCCCTCCAGGCTTAGCAAGCCAATACAAAGTGTAACAGTAACCCTTGAAAGAACTCAATCCAGTTCAATGTGATTTGCTATCATAGAGCAAACCCTGTCTGTCGAGATCGGACCATTTCAGCTCCGCCTGGTAGTAATCACCTCGGTGCCGGCGCTCTAGTAGACCGAAGCACGGAACATCCCGCCAGGGTCAAGATAGCCGACGCCGAGAAATGCAAGCTGCAGTCTGCTGAGTCACTTATGTCAAGCAGGGCATCCACATTCGCCTCGGTCACCTTGTCTGCGTTCCATGCACCTGGCCTCAGTGAACGGTGTCATGGAATCGGGTTCTGGTATCTCAGGTTCAAGAGCAAAAGGCACATCGATGTATTCGGGCTTGGACTCGCTCTGGGGAGGGATGGAGGAGGGGAGGAGCAACATCTCACATCCACGGATTCGACACGCACGCCCGCACAAGGCAGGCACTTGTTTGCTACGACGTGTCTCAAATCACATCCACAGTTTTGGTCTCATGCACATGTGTACTTTGGTGCGCAATACTGCTGTTTAATTTCCTTCCACAACCGTGTCTGCAGACTACGTTGCAGACGTAGCATCTCCAAGAAAGCAGGCCGGACACCATGAAAACAGTCAGCGCTGACTACAAACCGCCCAACCCCGGCATGTGCGTGTGTGCGAGGGTGAGTCTGATGTAGCCGACAAGTCGCCGGAGCAAGCTGTAGAACACGTCGAAGTCCTCCAGTCGGGCCACTTCCACCTGCCAGCGTGCTAGTGTGAGACAGATCCGCCAAGTGTCAAACGAGCTTCCCACCTTGATGACGCTTTGTTGTGCTTCCTGCATGCCGCAGTCTAGCATTCGGTCGAACACTGGGGAAGCAAGGCGCAGCAGAGCTGAACATGCCGACAGCGATGCCCCCTGCACTTGGTGTCGTGCAAAGACAAAAGCCATCCAATTAACTATGCTTCCTTCGGGTTGTTGAGCAACTTAGTCTTAGTGACTTCGTGCTTAGGAAGCATATGATTTTCTTACGATCGAGTCAGCAACGCAAATGCTACTGATGAGCCAAGGGGTCCGCACCGAAGTCCAAGGTGATGTCGTTTAGGCGCCTTGTGCCGGCTGCTGACCCATCCTTGTCAGTATCTGCCTGCTCTGGCGCAAGCTTGTCCATGGCTCACCACGTTTCAGCCACTAAGCCTCTCACATGCTGCAAATGCTGATGTATCCCATTGTGTCCCAGGACTGAGTTGCTTGACACCTACATTTTGCATCCGTTGCTTGGGTCGACAAATTCTGCCCTGGCCGCAAACCACCTGTGCTTGATTTCTGGACAAACACATGTACCTTCAACATCTGGTCCACAGAAAGTCAGCATCAAGAGTCAAGCTGCTGAGTCACTTACAAGAACCGGTGCTTCTGAGCAACATTACACGCTCGCATCCTATATTCGTCGCTGGTTCTCGGCCCCTTGGGCCCATCAGCCCGGTGGCTCACGACTTCAGCAGTGTCCCTGCATTCAACCTAAGCTGAAATTCACTGTTCTCGTCCAAACTAAGTTGACCGGCTTTGGATCTCGAGGCTGAAGAGATTGCACGATGGAACTGGCGGGAATAGGCACATTGAACTACTGCAGCATCCAGCTGGCATTGGGTTGTTTCCTTCCCATCAACCCGACAACACAACTCTGAGGTTCAAGGCAAGTTTGCTAGATGTTGTAGAATGCATGTTGCAGGATTTGCCTGCATGGATTGCCAACGTCGCAGCCTCCTATGCTCAAACCCGGCCAAAGCCTGAAATCTTCCACTCCCAATTTCCATACGACCAAGGCTTTTGTGTCCACCCCGACGAATTTACGAGGCCCGTGAGCTCCTGTCCAACATCAGCCTTTCTCACTGGTTCAGTCTCTGAGAACACATCTGGGGCGAAGCCAGAGGATTCTCTCCGCTCTCGTGCAGTCCCTCGCACAGATCCAAGTTGGGATTGCGCCTGGCTGCATATCCAAGAAAATCCTTCTTCTCCCTCTTCCGGCTTTGTACAAACGAGCTCCACAGCGGCCGGAATCGCAAAGGAGCCGCAGTGTGGCGGTCAACATACCGCCACATCGGCAAAACAAAGATGGCTTCGCGGGACGACGTCCCTGGGGCCAGCAAAAACTGGCTTGCCAACTCCAAGATGGTCCAATTTCCTTTCTGCCACCTCTTTGATATAAACCGAGCTATGGCAAACCTTTGGGAACTCTGACATTCCAAATCAGATGCCTGGGCACTAGTTGCCCGAAGCACCGACCTCTAGACATCTTTAAACTTATGGCCTGAGATCTGCCAGCACAGCAGGCGGCCCACGTCGGGGCACACCATGCCGACTCTTGTGTCGCTTCTTCTTAGCACCCTTTGAGCTTTGGCTTTGTGAGGCATGTCTATGCCTATGCTGCTGTAGTTGGTGGAGCCCATTGAAGCGAAATGCAGGTCTGGAGTGCTTGAGACAAAAAGGCAGAAGGCAGCACTTGGTTTCGGGATCAAGTATTGCCTGCCCGAAGCCGTTACGCTAGGAAGCCGGGAGCCAAGAGCAGCCCAAGAAGCTGCGAGGCTTTTACGCTTTAGGGGATAATCTCGCCTTCCAGCTCTTCGTTGAGATGCTGCTCAACTTCGTCTTCCTCTGCTTGACACCTGAGAGCCGAGTGTGCCAGCTCAAACACCGGAGTCTCCAAGAAAACGGCAACTTCCTGCTGTCGTTCAAACTGACAGCTGAACCGGGGGCTGCACTATCTGTGTTCTCGGAGTCAGCCAACCCAAATTGCCCCTTTCTTCAATGAGACCAGCGAGGTGTTCCGAAGCTTAGTGTGAACATCCATCCCACCGTGCGTAACGCGAAATCACTATCTGCGAGCTCAACAAATCAGCTGTTTACCCATGAGTGACCTTGCGGTAATGATACACGACGACGGCAACATGAAGCAGCAAACAAACAATCGATGGTGGTCGTTCAAACCCAAGGCAAACATGAAACTATGTCCAGCTGGGGCGCTCCAGGCTCATGGCTGCACCTTCTTGGATAAGAGCCCCAACGCCAGCCATTACGACCAGGGAGTCTGAAGCACATGAGGCCTTTGCAAAGTCTGCGGTGGATGCGTGAACGTCACTCACATTATGAGTTGTCACACTTGGACTCTCGCACTCGGGGCAATGAGCTGTGACATTTAGGGAGGGAAGCCTTTGTAAATATATGTGGGAACATGGAAAACAGCGGAAACACTAAGACACTTTGTGCCACACGCCTTGTCCGGCTTGTCCCGCTCGATGGGGCAAAGTGCAGCTACTCCAGCGAGCAAACTTGCAACGAACTCAAAAGTAGCGATGATGCCAGAAACTTGTACGACGCAGGCAGTTTCGGCTTCTCCTGGATGTGAGTCAAAACGCTCCACGCAAGGGCTCTGCTGAGCGGCGTTTGCGACGGCCATCAAACCACGCCCTGTAAACAAAGAAACCAGGCCCACGTCCAGCACACAGGATGTAATGTCAGCTTGACGTTTTTGCTTGTCAGCAAGGTGCTTCTTGATTCTCTTTTCCATGTCCGCGTCCAAAACTCGAAGTGGCGAAGGCGGCAGCGTCGCCAAGTGAGAAGGGCTACTCATATTGGCAGCAGACCAGGCATCGTGGTGCCCGTGTAAACGTCGAAACGGAACCGTGTCCTGCACTGCAGCGGTTTCAGAGCAGTTGTAGCCCGCAATCAGCGGTGGCAGCATGGACGTCGGCTCTACAAACTAAAAGCCCCTCGTCTCTCTCTGCTTCCGCACCAACGAGGGTCCCTGTAACTTCCACTGCTTCTACTACTACAACCACTACTACTGCTACTGCTGCTGCTGCTGCTGCCACCACTACCGCAGCACGACTACACACTACTACATTAACGCCACCACACCACCACGCTACTACACCACTGCACTACTGCAGTACTACACTACTACAATACTGCTGCTGCTACTCTTGATCCCAGGCTGAAACCCTGCATCAGCTGGGAAGCGGCAACCAACATGACTACTGCATGTCGGCAAACCGTATCAAGCAATCCACCTTTGTTCTTTAAAAGGTGACGGACATTATTGTTGCTATTATACGTGCTTGCATATAAGTATATACATATGTATCTGTAGATATATATATATATATAATGCCACTTATCTATTTATCTGTATCTGTCTATATATATATATATACATGTGTGTGTGTATGTACGTCATGTATGTGTGTGTGTGTGTGTGTCTCTCTCTCTCTCTCTCTCTCTGGCTGCTCTCCATCCATACATATCTATATATATATATATATAGATATGTATGGATAGACTCGGATAGACAGAGACAGAGAAAGAGCGCGAGAGAGAGAGAGAGGGAGCAGAGATCGAGAATGAGAGAGAGAGAGAGAGAGCACAAACCAAACCACGGTGTGTAAGAAGATGCTGTGGGTCCTGCAGCTCCGTGCCGCAAAGGCAGATGCGGCCACTGCCCTTCTTCTCCTCGATGGTCAATTCTGGAATTTTGCGACCTCGCTTGCGGCGCTTCTGGTCACTGCGCGAGTATGTCTACCATTGAATCAGCCTTGTGCTGGTTATTGCTATGTTGTCGCTGAAGGTGGTGGTAATTACATGTAATTACTGTGGTGGTGGTGGTGGTGGTGGTGGTGGTGGTGGTGGTGGTGGTGGCGGTGGTGGTGGTGCTGGCAATAATATTGCCGCAGCGGAGTAGCACCAGCAGTAGCAGCCGTAGCCTAGTAACTAGTACCAAAAGCTGTCAGCAGCACGACGAGACGCGGCCACGAAATGCTCAGTCCGAACTGCCTCTCACGTCGTTGCTTCGGAATGGCCGAAACCGCAACCTTACAAGAGCTGTGCAGGAAACGGGAAACAAAAGCCGCAAGCAAGGTGGGATGGCTGTGTTTGTAAGCTACAAGCTATGCTCCAGCACTCTTCAGATCATAGCTCGCAGTTGGCCCAAAGTGATGTTAAGCAAAGTCAGGTAAGGCATCGTATCGGCTCGCACATCGCAAGCCGGCACGCCATTAAGTATTCGCCGTCCACGGCTCATTCTGCAGTCTGGCAAACTGAACGCACCCAAGCAGTTAATTAGTTAATTAGAAAGTATTCCTGCACACCGCCTCCTTTCAATACCAAAGGTAAGTTTCGAGCTTCCTGGCACCCGGTGTTTGGTGCTTTAATTGCCCGCCTGGCCCTCCTGCGGACACTTCCCCTTCAAGCGCTCCAGCAGGAACCGTGCATGGAAAGTCGGGGCCGCTTGTTCGAAAGAGGACAAGGAAGCAGGCGAGAACGCACGTGCCTGCAGGCGCCCCGAGGAGCATCAACCGCCGGCACGCACACACCCCACGCACGTCACGAAGAACTCAACGGCCGACGAAAGGAGAGAAAGCGAAGTGCAGAGCAGTTCGGATCTGCACCAGCCTCTAACACTCACAGCTTCTGCATGCCCGTCATCGTCGTGGTCGGCGTCAGCAGTAGTAGTAGGAGTAGGAAGAGTAGTCGCGGTGGTGGTCCTCGTCTTTGCGATGCCCAAGACAAACTGCCCCAAGGCCGCAGCGGGCTTCGTCAGCCACAACGTCCTCCCACGAACATCCCCGCATGCGAAGCTGAGTTGACCCACGCAGTTGACACTCTCCCCGAGAGCACTCCTCAAGGCCAGGCGACCTCAGGACCAAAGGTGCTCACGCCCGGACGGACTGTGGTGTGGCCTGTAGCTGAGCCAGGAGGCGTCGTAGCCCAAAACGCCAGCCTTCTGGGCTGAATGGTAGACTCCTAAACACCGACCCTCGCCCAACTCTTCCGATGCACCTGTCTTCAACCACCTGCACTTTTATTGCCTGCACAGGTCAAGCACAGATTTCCGTGCCTCGGAGCTCCAGCGGGGCCTCTCCCACAGTTGTGCAGTCGATCTGAGTGCTTTCCTGCGATTTCGGACAGCAGCGCAGATTCAGGCACGCGGCACGCCTTGCCTCGCTGGGTGGCAGTCCTCCTGCCGGCCCCTGCGCTTTAGCTTCCTCGGCCGCAGGACCGCGGCACTGTTGTTGTGCGGGGAGTCACGGAAGGCGGTGCCGGTGTAGCCGGCGGCGTTCTCCTTTCACGAGCTTGAGAAGAGCTCGAGATCTGCGTCCGTTTGTTTGCGGGAATGGCCTGGCCATCGCCTTTCTCTGGCAAGGCTTTGCTCGCCGCTGGCCCCTTTCCCACATACATGTGCCTCCGAGAATGTTGAAGCCAAGGGCCAAAGAAAATGCTTAATGACCTCTATTATAATGCCAGCGGCTGACTCCGACGAGGGCTCCGAGGGCTCGGCTTAAAGAGAAGCCGCGTGTCCCCGGGTCTGGCGGCTTCGCTCCCATCCTGGCAGCCGCGCGCCCCTCTCGCGGTCTTCCGCTCTTCCGCTCTTCCCCGGTCCGAGGCGGAGGCGAAGGGGGTGGAGGCCCAGAGAGGACTTCGTGCACGGGCAGATCCTAGCTCACGACTTTCAGACGAGACCGGCGGAGGATATCTACCGAGCAGAGCACCCAAATGGAAGTGGGCGGTGCTGGAGAAATACCTCCACAACAGGCGAGAGGCAGCTCGCAACGACGTTCTAGGAATGGCGCACCGCTGCGGAGGCACGCAGCCAAAGAAGCCTGTAGTACAGAGCAGGCGCCGCACGCCTTCAAGCCTCGCGCGTTGCCCTGCTTTGTCTCCTTGTGTGGTGGCCAGCTCTGCCATGAATTCGGAAAGAGCCAAGCCTAGGCTGGAGCCGCGACAACACAACCGGATCCGCGCTCCGCATGGCTCCGCTTGGCTCCGCATGCTCGGCGGCCGCACCGATGCCAAGACCCTGGAAGTCGGGGAGCACGACAAGGCGATGCTCTCGACAGTCCGTCCTCGGCGCGCAGCCGGTGCACGGCTCACTGCTCACCGAAGGGAGCGTCACCGAGGCATCTGCGAGCCGCTGGCGGCTTCCCGTGGCAGCAGGGCCAGAAAGGCCACGGGCTCGTCCTTGGCACTCGGACTCGGGTCCTCGCTCCGTGTCGTCGTGGCACTCTCTGCAGCGGAGACTCTCCCCAATGCACTTCGGCGCAGGTGGCGGCCGGGCTGAGCTGGGAGCTCAGGTAGTGGTGCCGAGCCTCCCCGCGAATGCGCCGAAGGCCGAAAAAAGAGACCGAGCCCTCTCTCCCTCGGAGTTTCTGGGTGTCTGGCAAAGCGCCGCCAAGCCCTGGTTCCATCGGCGTGCAGGAGGGACACCTTCAGCTTCAGCATGGGCTGCACGAAGCCCTTGCGCACCTCCGAAAGAAGTCGGGAAAGACATGGAACAGAGCAGGAACAACGCAGGAACACAGTGCCTTTTTCTCTATGCAGGTTCTCAGAGCCGCACAAAGTCCACTAGCTACCCAAGACCTCGCGCGTTTTTGCACGTGTCATTCATAATTATCAAAGTGAACATGCGCCCGGCTATGCCAGGGCCTACCCCCACCGTTGCGAGATGCAGAACAGTAGGAAGAAACCCCAAATGTAAAGCGCGGCAGCTCATGTTCGAGAAGCACTAGCGCTGACGACGTAGTCGCCGTCCTGTCGAAACCAAAACAGACGACTCAGACTCCCACTTCGTCTCTAGGACAAAGGAGACAGAGTCCTGTGGCAGCAGAGACGCAGAGCGTTGTCTCCCATCTTCCAAGACAGCAACCTGAAGCAAAAAGGATTGCTGAAACGAGAAGGTCCCGGTTTCTTTCGAAAGGTCCCGGCTTGGTTGAGGAGCTTGCTCTGCACTTGCTGCGTGAGTCTCTTGTGCTCGAAGAAATCCCCAGAGAGGCCAGTGAGGGCCTGCACTCCACCAGCCAGAGCCACTCGCATCCAGCACCCGACGCGGCTCTCGCGTGGCAGGGCCTCATGAAGCTTGGCGATGTCCTCCTGCACCGCTAGGGCCTTCTTACAAGGTCGCACACGTACACAATGCTCTGGGGACACCCACTCACACAAAACAAGCTCTGTGGAGCAGTCTGTGAAGTTTAACGACCTGATTAGCAATGTGCACGTCACCTCCCTAAGGAGGTTGGGGGTGTAACACTGGGCTCCAGGCTGTGGCGTTACCCTCGCGTCCTCCAGAGTCGACTTGATCCCGAAGTTTGACCATCAACTGCTCCACCTACGCCACAGGTCAGAAGCACACCACAACAACCACTGAAATTCGGAAGGCAGGAAGGAAGGAAGGAAGGAAGGAAGGAAGGAAGGAAGGAAGGGCTTTCTTCAGACGTTAATGTGATACATGCTTCATTGCGGAGTGTTGCTGTGTGTTGCAAGTAGTTAGCCGCATCACCCCTCAACCCGGCCCATCCCAGCTCGCCAACCCACTACAACTATGCTCCCTTTCGAGCAGAACATGTCAATGCTCGCCGCAAGCCTCGTTCATTTTGTGCTGCACGGTGTCCTGCGTGGCCTCGCAGAGTACTTCATGGCCAAGTAAAGTGCTCATGGACGCTGTAGCTAGAGGCGTGGGGGGAAAGAGGAGATCTGACCACCAGCCTGCACCTGGCGCTTCGACGTCACGATCTCACTGCTCGTGGACTGCAGCTGCCCCTGCCACGTCGGAGGGGGTGGGCCGCGGGCATCCACAGGCCAACTTCGAATTTTGGGCCTGCAGCTGCACCAGGCTGTGTTGGAGCTGCTGGTGCGTCGCACTATAGCTCTTCTTCAGAGCCTCTACTGTACCAGGACAGGAAAGAGCTTTCTCACGAAGGCCTTAAGCCTTAGGAGTCTTTTGCGGCCAACCGGGGGTATCCGCCTCCAGCTCCGCAGTCTTCATGGACAGCTGCCGCCCCAGCGCGTGGATCTCGCTAAGCAGCTCCTCGCTCTCTCTCGCAAGGCGCAAAGCCATGCAAAGCCCACGCCAAAGTCACGAGGTCGCTGCGACTGCGCCGCGCCTGATCCGTGGCAGCCTTCTGTTTCACCAGCGACGTTATCTCTGTGAACGCGCTCCTTGCAGACGTTGCTGCGCTTTGCTGCATGCTGCCAGGTTGATGCATCACGTTAGGTCCGGCACTAGGAGGATCTAGGAGCTTAGCCGAGTCTCGTGAGCTTCTCACGCAGGTCCGTGAGTTGCGACTGCATTTGCTGCTGTACAGAAATGGAATGTCTCTTGTACCTGGTGTTTGTGTCTCAGGAACAAGGCAAAACAGTCAGATTGCGCTGCTCTCACAGTGTTTTGCCGGTACATAGGGGTCAACTGTGCCAAGGGGAGCACTCTGTGAGGTCGGCGCTGTTCGAGGTGATGCCATCGCGTATCACACTCATTTCGGCCATCATCGCTTGCCTGTGCAAGGGAAACCCACAGTGCACGCAGCTTGCAAAAACTTTCCATGATGCGGTCCAGGCACAGACTGCCGTTCGATCGAGCCTTCATTTCCTCACTGAAGCATGTAGCGTGCAGGCGAAGTTATGAGTGGGCAGAAATCCTATTCCTGACCCCGCGCCCGCTTGCAAGCAACGGCATCAATGCTTTCTTAGGGTCGCTGAGCCACTGAGAGAATGCATTCATGGTTGCATCCACGTCGGCATGGCTGTCGACAGCATGGTGTCCTGGATATACGAAACTACATCTGCAGCACAAAGACACTGAAGCACACCCGAATGGAGCTACCTACCGGAGCTTCGAGGGTTGCCACAAGATGTCACAAGTCGAAACAAAGGGTGTGCAAAAAGGAACCTACGGCCGTACTCTGGGCTTCCACAACGGCCTGGGCCGCCCAGAACTCCGTTGCTGCTGGGGCCCACGATGGCCGCCATGGCACTTCCCCGCTCGGGGCTAAGATGGGCTCCGAGCTGGGCTTCGGCTGCGGATTCGGAAGCAAATCACAAAATTGCGCTGTACACAAATTCGAATGGATATATGTATGTGTGTGTATGTGTATAAAAGTATACATATATATATATATATACATATATGTGAGCCCGACACCTTTAGGGTAGATTCAACATATCTATCTATCTATCTATCTATCTAGCTATCTAGCTATCTATTATCTATATGTGTATGTATATATAGGGCCAGGAATTGTTTTGTGTTTCTTTTTTGAATTATTTTTTGTGTGGTTTGGGGCTTAGCTCTATATTTTACTAGGAAATACTCCATTTTCTTTATATTTTAAGAGGAAAACCTGAATTTTTTCTGTTTTTCGCAAATGTTCTATGTTTTCGTAGGAAAATTTGAATTTTCTGTATTTTCATAGGAAAATCTGGATTTTGTTTTTGTTTCACAGACAAAACCTTAATTTTCT